TGTTCACTTCCCAGTCATTTATGTATGATTACTGGGCTGTCACTCAGAAGACCATATAAACTGAATGCTTATTTGCTGATATTCATAGATTTTAAAAGGTAATTTCATCTATATTTCTGAGAAATCTGGGAGGATTTGCAATTATTATCTTAGCATATTTCCTTATTTGTTTGCTTTAGTTATTCTATTACCATTAACATGTACCGAATTTTTATTATTTCAAAGAATAGTCCAAGTTCTAAGTTATCTAGGAATATGTTTTTGACCAACTAAGTGAAAGAAATATGCCTCATCATTTTATCCAGAATTATTACTCTCTGCTGACCAACTTGCTTTCATTCTCTGTCACTTGGCATACATTACCACAAACTACTAACTTATGTTCATATACAGCGTCTAGCAGAAGTAATGCCTGCTTGAATGTGGTTGGTAGGGTAATAATGTAGGTATAATAATTTATCGTTTTAATTTGAACATTTCACCTAAAGTGTCATATGGTGTGCTCCAGTGTGAAATTGTTATGTTGTAGAATTACATGCTTATGACTTTTCTAATAAAAGATTTTGTAATAAAAAAAGAGGCATTATTTGTGCTGGACCTGCTACTTCCTAAGTAGACTGTACATTCCTTGGAGTCATTTAGAGTTGAGGGTATTGTGGGTTTTTTGACGGTAGAGTGTGAGGTCAAAATTTTTTGAAGTAAGCTTCTAATCTCTCAGGCTAGGAAACTGCTTATTTTCAGTTATCATCAGGACTCTCTCCCGGACATGCTCTATGTCTCAGAACAACTCTCCTGGCTTTAATCTCTGTGTCACTAACTGCATGGGCCCTTGCCGGTGCCCCGTTCTCTGTGTTCTGTGCCCAGGCCGGGAAGGGAAACAGAGGCCATGCCTATTGTTTTCAGTACCCATGCCTTCCTGCCATTCTATGCACATCCCAGAGCAATTCTCCAGTTTAGGGTCTTATGTGCAAACTACTCTGATCTTTGCCACTCTCTTCATTTTTGGGAAAGCACTCCCTCTGAACCCGCCACTGAAGCTTTTGAAATGTGGAAGTACTAGCCCCCATTGCTCCTCCTCCCAGAAAATCTATCCTAGACTTCCCAAAGGACAGCCAGGAAGAACAGCAGAATTGTGTTTTTCTAGCTTCTGACCACTTTGGGGATGGAAGAAGGAAAAACACAAAACAGAAATAAGTGAGGTGCTGTGCCAATTACAAAGATTTCTCTGCATTTCACTGTGACCAATCACTTAGCATTATTCTGTGTGCCTTCTTTATAGTAAGTGATCAACAAACACTTAATTGGTAAGAATGTCATTAATAATTTCTTATTTAAATTACTTATGTTGAAAATAGGATGATATCTAGGTTTTTTTGACATTTAAAGAATGTTATACAACTTGTTAAGCATTCATCTTTATTTCCTTCAAATATATGCCCTTAATTACCCCACTTCTTTACATCTGGAATCTTGGAATTCCTTGAATTGAGTGCACAGATATAAAAATAATGCAATGATTTTACATAGCAAAGCAATGGAAACATCCAGGGAGAAAATCAAGGTTTCTACATCAATGATTTTCTTTTGAAAGCATTGCATATTTTATAACACTCTCCATTTTCTAGTTAGATAATTTAAATGTGAGATTTGTGATCATATATTTTGTCAACCTAGCTAATCAATAATAATATATTGTTAATTCTAAAATTGAAATGTACAAATAAATTTCACAAAAAGATTTTACATTTGCAGTCCTGCATTTACTGTAATACCATATAATAAAATATATATTTCCATTTATTATTCATAATAGAACCCTGTCACATATTTGATATAGATTAAAGCATTAAAACATCAGATAAAAAAATAAATGTGCTATTTATGGTTTCACTCCCAGTATCCTGATTCCAAAGGCATATTTCATGGTGAGACAACATCTTAACTGTGTGAGATATCAGAGTAATGTAAGGAGAATACAAATTGAAAAAAAATGCATCAAGGCTGGATTTTAAGAGACAGTTCAGTAGAGCATTGCAGAAGACTAGAGAGCAGGCAGATTTTCAGGAAGTGGGAGTAGTGAATGTGGCTCCTTTCTCCTCCCCGCCCCCAGCCCTGACTCTCTTCCTTTCTTCTTTCTTTCATAATGTCTGCTGCTAAAAAAAAGAAAGGAACACACTGGGAAATGAGTTGGACAGGTGGACAGGGACGTGGGCTGGACTGTCATTCCAGACCACAATTTCTAATTGCCCTGCTTTGTGAATAGCTTTTGTCTACTTTGGACTGATTTTATCCTCATTCATGTGTTGCCCTCTACTGGTTTGGATATTGTATGCTCTATTTCCATTGTTTTTGGTGGCTATCTAAAATTTTATTTTCCACCGCCTACACAAAAGTTAAAGCACAGTCTTGGTCACAGAGCCTCGGTGTGGGTTAATTTACTGTTTGGTAGAAGGGAGGTGTCATTTTCAGAAATGGTAATAATATATGGTAAGTAAAAACAAGTAGTCTATGATTAACCGCATGAAATGCTATTAGATGGCAGTAAAGTTAGGTTTCACCTCAGTGGTCGTGTTCTGCACCCACACACAGAATAAAAGATTTCCTGAAGTAGATGGCTTTTTGATGGGGCCCTAGAGGATGGAGAAAAGTCTTATATTTGAGTTTAACAAAACAAAGAGACTTTGAATTTCAAACTATCTTAGTATAACATAAAGCATATACTATCAGGAATTGTCAAACCCCTTCAGTGGCCTAGCATCTGTTTCGGTAATAAAGTTTTATTGGGACCTTGTCACATTTATTATTATGTGTATTATCTATTTACAGCAGTAGAGTTGAAACAGAGATTATGTGGCCCACAAGTTCTAAAATATTTACAATCTGGCCTCTTACCATAAAGTTTGCCAACAGCCATATTAAATCATGTTATGTATTACAAAGTAAGTTTATAGGAAAACTTTTCCCTTAGCCTGGCTTTCTCCTTTGCATTTATACTCAAGTAGATTTGATCGGGCAGTTCCCACAATGCATGTTTACTCATGGGCTCTCTCTGTGCTTAGAGGTTATTTCAGTTTCTTCAATTTGAAGTATTTTCCTACCCCCACTCCTTAATAATTATTTTCTTTAATAGAAGCTATAAGATTTTTAGTGCTATTTTGTATGACTACTTTTGAAATAGTAGATATTCATGGTTTTCTTTTACCAACTTGATCCTAGATTGATAACGTTTGAACTATAAAAAAATTAATGTATCAAATACCTTCAATAAGTTCATCAAATATTCTTACATTTACTAAATAACATATCACTACATCCTTCTATGAACTGAAAGGTAGCCATTCAATTGCAAAGGTTTCAGATTATAAACTACTTTATAGCTAGTGCAACTATATTTGCTTCAAGTATGGAATTAAACAGGAAAAAAAGTGTCATTGGGGAAAGTGAGAAAGAATTTTAAAAGCAATCAGTAAATTTCTGCTCAAAAGCCATTATTGTTAAGAGGAAAATGTAATGAAATCCCAGCACTTTGCTGGCAGACTTAACTCACTTGGTTTTGTTTCCAGGGAGTACCAGGTCCCCACAGTTAGGTTCGATGCAGCGCATCAAGCTAACTGCCTGAATTACCAATAGCATGTGTGTGCTCTGTGTCCCAGGGAATACTCACATCCAGCAAACTAGCTCAGATACATGGGTACATTTGATTAGCCACTTCCCAGGAGCTTCCCTGTTGATGTAAAAGCCAATGAGTGTTGGCTAGGCCTAGGAAGACTCTCTCAGTTCTCATTTATTAAACCAAGGCATCCTTTCACTGGATATCCTAGTGTTCTACACAGAACAGCTAATGGTTTCTTCTTGTAGTGATTTAAGACTGAGGGACTTGGGCTGGTGGGGAGAAGAGGAAATTTGAATTGCATTAAATGTGAATTTTTTTTAAGATTGTATTTATTTATTTTTAGAGAGAGGGGAAGGAATGAGGAGAGGGAGAGAAGTATCAGTGTGTGGTTGCCTCTTGCACACCCCCTACTGGGGACCTGGCCCATAACCCAGGCATGTGCTCTGATTGGGAATCAAAACAGCGACCCTTTGGTTAGCAGGCTGCCACTCATTCCACTGAGCCACACCAGCCAGAGCATAAATGTGAATATTCGTATAGGAGATCATTTGCCTCAATGACTTTGATTGTCCTACCACCAGTAGTTATCAGTAAAGACTAGTAGCAACCCCCATACATATAACCTCAGAGAGATCCAAGCAAAAGTGGGGTATATGAAAATCTGGATACTTACAAGGTGTGGTTTCGAGCTTTTAATGTGACTTGGAAGAACTAGCAAGCTAAAATACAATGTTTAAGCTATCATACTATATATTGTATGAAATATTTGATGCATGCAAAATAAATGGCCTTCAGGAATGTGGTGAAGGATTTTGTGGAAGACAGATTGCCTAGCAACATAGTTTAAAATAGTCTTTTTTCCAAGTATGGATCATGCATAAATAGTGGGTCATGGAATCAATTTACTGTGACAGAGTTTTTAAAAATAGTAATCAGTATTAAACTTAGAGTAAGATAGAATGTATCAGAGCACATCATATATAGTTAGGCTAAGTATTTTGTATAACTTTTGCTTCAGTTACACACACACACACACACACACACACACACACACACGAGTGGAAGGTGTTGAGACCCAGTTGAAATGCTGTCTAAAAGAAGCAGAGGCATGGCATGAATATGTGAATTCCACTGTTGGGACAAGCAGTGATTATATGGAGTCTATGTGCATTTCTCTGGTTCAGGGCTAGTAAGCCAAACTAGGCCTAATAGAACACATGCTAATACATTTGTTACCTTTGTAGGTAAGATTAGGAGGGGAAGTTGCTTTGTATGTCTTGCTTTAGTTCAAATAGCTGTGCTTCTATTCTGTTAGGAAAAAAATGTTTGTCTTCCATTTTACTTAGTTTTGTTTTACTTAGTTTGGGACCATTCTTTCTTTTGCCAGGAGATTGCATCAGCAATTTGAAAGCTATAAGGAACAAGTGAGAAAAATAGGGGAAGAAGCACGGCGTTACCAGGGTGAGCACAAAGATGATGCTCCGACTTGTGGAATCTGTCATAAAACAAAGTTTGCTGACGGATGCGGCCATCTCTGCTCCTACTGCCGCACCAAGTTCTGTGCCCGCTGCGGAGGCCGTGTGTCTCTGCGATCCAACAATGTGAGTATTCTGGGAGTGTGAGAGAAATTCTGAATGCGGATACCGATGCACACATCTCCAAAGAAGCAGCAGCACATGCGTGTCAGAGAGCAGACACAGGCATAAGTGTGCACATTACTATGCTCCTCCTCATTTTGTCCTTTTGCTTTACATAAGGATCATAGCAGTGGAATAGTGATGAAAATCATTCATAAAAATGATAGGTTCTGTATCTGTGTATCTTAATACATGATTCCCGTTCAAAACCAACTGATTTATCTGTAGGAGTAAATTTATCTTCTGAGGAATGTAGTAAATGTAGATATAGTATCCTGAGTTGTAAATCTCTTGAAAGTTGTTATGGAAGTTCTTATGAAAAACAAAATAAAACAAACTCCTACTTTAGTTTCTGCAACATTGGTTTCAGATTAAATGAAGGTAAAATGCAAAGTAAACTTTGTAGTGTTAAATTTAATCCAAGATAATAGTATATATAAAACTGTGACAGGGTAGTAAAAAGCTAGGCAAATTCCTGGGCAAGTAGAATGGGAAAACTAAGACAAGAAAACTAAGCAAGACCAAATAATTTGAGCAACTTAACAGCCAGCTGGTGAATCACAAGAATTCTCTCCCCGAACCAAGGATACTTGAGAACAAATGGTTTATACCTCTCTTCCCTAATCAAAGAATACATAGCATAAGTCTATCTGGCCTGGGAAAACAGAGAACAGAGACAGAATTAATGCCATTTGTACCAGCTAAGCCCAAGGACAGATGAAATCAGGGGAACAAATAGCAACAAAAAAAAGCCATTAAAGCCAAACAGACCCAAGATAAAATTAAAAGAGTATAGCAACCAAAGATATTCCCAAACCTCCCTGTGTGTTCACTTTGCACCTCAGCATATCAAAAATGCACCTGGAAAAATGATGAATATTCTGCTGAAACCCTCCCTAAGATGATCACCCACAGAATAAAGAGAAAAAGTCCTCAGGACAAAGATTCAGGGCTGGAATCTTTAGATTCCAGCTCCCTCTAGAGCACATGCAAGCCCCTTCCTGGGCAGGAACATTTTTTACTTCCTCCTAAACTCAAAGGGTTCCCAGGAAACTTGCAGCCAGGGGAACAATGGGCAGTGGCAGCTTGACCTGGGCTTACCCCCTAAACCTGTCCCCAAGGCCCTTTCTCTGACTTCCCAGTGAGCTAACAGCAGCCCGGCCTTGGCTCACTCCTTTCCTGTAACATTTCTAGGTAGCCAAAGCAGAGCACTGCATAAGTTCTCCTGTTACTTCTACCATAAGTCCTCCCTTTGTCTTACTGCCCCAGCCTTAATAAGCATACTCTCAAAATCACCTGGACTTGTGCTGTGAAATCTTCCTACACAAAGTCAAGAACTCACGCTATAGGCGGACCTGAGGCAGACCTGCTCCAGGCTGGTCCCTGTTCAGTAACTAAACTATGATTAGCCTCCATGAGAATAATTTCATATCATGCTAAGGAAATACAAGTACTAAGTTTCACTCATGGAAGTTATTCAGATTTCTAAAGAGTAAGTTAAAATACCTTTTTTAAATTGGATTATTTTGACTTATTTCTTCTCTATGAGATGTAGTCCTATTTGATGTAGTTTCCTCAGTCAACTTAAATAACAGCTACTCGCCCAGTGCTGTAAACATGTCTAAATTTTTGAGCCACTAGTATGCTAATAGAAAGCATTCAATATTATAATCTGTGAAATACGAGATTAATTTCAATAAATACTTAGTTTAGAATACATGTTAATGTTGTGCTGTATTTATTCCCAGTGTTAATGCAGTGGGATTATTTATAGGGATGTCTGTGTGAGTTTTCTTTGATATAGGTCTGCAATGTAATATAGAAGTTAAGATTATCATATGCTTAAATAATTCTCATTGTTTGTTTAAAGAATTTCACATATTCTCTAATCATGTATAGACATTAACTTAATTCAAAGTCATATTTAAAAATAATAAGAGTGCTTAAGCACTCTTGATATCTTCCTAATTTGGAAAATCACAATTAAAATTAAAACAAATGTCTCAATCAACATCATATTATTAGTGTATTTGAGTTGTAAGTAGGTTATTCTAAAGTCTTTTTCAGTGGAATTAAGACATTCAGTAAAACAGATATATTATTATACTTTAAGGTGAGCCAACTATTATCTTTGTGGCCTTGGAAAGATAATTATATTCTCTAAACAATAGCTTCTTTACCTATGGAAATGGATAGTGATACTTACTCTGTGTGTTGTTATGAGAATTCAATTAAATAATTAAAATTAGTCCTTTATGAAATGCATTTTTTAGGTTATATTCTCATGGCCACATACGTTTTCTTTTTTTCTTTCTAACTGTTGTTAGTTTTAATTAATACTTGTATGCTCCCTTAAAGCCTTTCTAGATAACCTTGGGTTTAGATATTTTCTGGTACATAAAAAGTTCACAAGAACTATTTGACAACTTTCCCTTATTTAGTATTCTTAAACATACTATTTGGAATGAATTCTCACAGATGAGACCTGGGAATAATATTCTAGGGTGCAAACTGGCTGAATGTTAAGGCTGGCTGAGTGCCCATAGCAGTTGAATGTGTTTAACTTCCCATTATAAGTCTGAGGCAAATTAAGAGAAATAGTTAATCATTGATATATTAAAATTGTTAGGGTTAGCCCTGGCTGGCATGGCTCAGTGGATTGAGGACTGGCATGAGAACCAAAGGGTCGCCTGTTCAATTCACAGTCAGGGCACATGCCTGGGTTGCAGGCCAGGTCAGGTCCTCAGTGGCGGGTGTGTGAGAGGCAGCCACCCATTGATGTTTCTCTTCCTCTTTTGTTCCCCCCTTACCCTCTCTCTAGAATTAAATAAATAAAATATTTAAAAAATTTTAAAAATAAAAATGATTAGGGTCAAACTCAAGTTTTCAAAAGGAGAGATGTTTAAAGGAAATTGAGCTAGGAGGTAATGCTTTGGAGCAGACACCCTGTCCAAACGTAGTTCATCCATTTTAGCTAAACCCAATCCAATTTTGGAAAAAATATTCAAAAGAACAAAGTACAATAAAACACAACTTGAAATATTTAATCTTGAATATAAGACAAAGCAATCTAAAAAGTTTTCTTTGTAAGACAGTTAAATGTTGAAATGTACATTACCAATAAATATTGCTTGTGAAATAATTTATGGTTAAAGATTAAAGTATTTTTTCACTTTTATGTATTATAAACATTTCCCATTCTTAGATTTTTTCAGTATGTAATGATAAATATTTTAATAGTAGTTTGATAAAATTATTATACAAGTTATAGGCATTTTAATGTATCTTTAAATAATAGGTAGACTGAATATGGCAGTGAATTAAGTTTTCTAAATTGAGAATGACTGAAGTGCACATTTAATAATCCAAATTCTAAAAATTTTAAAAATTATAGTACCTGACTTTTGTCTCAAACATATAGCAGGATTCATACATGTACCTTTGTAATGAAAGATTGAACAATTATTACTTGGGGGAAGAGCAAACATTTACTTTTCAGTGTACTTGTGTTTTAACCCTTTAGAGTGACATATAATTGTTTTTCTTAAAAATCTATTTATTAATATATGCCTTATTTTTGTTTTTCTCTTCCTTTTTTTCCTCTCTCTTTACTCTGCTTCCTTGGATGCTTTCCCAAAGGAGGACAAAGTGGTTAGAATCCATGATTTCTTTTCTATCATTTGTTATATAATGTTGTGAACTTTATTAAGTGAATGTTTCACCTAGTATTGTTAATCAGTATATTTCACAAAGAAAGTATATGCTAAGAAGAGCTCACTCCCAGTTCTCATGCGAAAAAATTATAAAATGAGCATCTAGAAACATTATAGAGTTTTATATAAGTAGGTAAAGTCTAGGTAGTTTCAGCTCATGGGAATGGTGATATTTTAATATAATTTAAATCATTATGAACTTATATGTCCTCTTAACTCTCTGAGCTTTGATGATGATTCCATCTGCGGTTGGGAACAATAAAGTTAGAAAGGCAGAGTCCCTCTACCTGTCTCAGAACTCGGGGTCATGAGCTGGTAATTTAAAACTTCTCTGTAGAAAGAGTATAATGCACTGATTTAGTGAAGAGAATGGAAGAAATTAAATCAAGAGCTCAAAAAAAAGATGTTTCTATAGAACACAAGTAGCAGAGTTGTCATATTAAACCAGATTATATCCTTCTCACTCATGCATGGAAATCATACCCTCAGGGAGTGAAAGGTCACTTTTAACTCTTACCAGCTATGGAAACCACAGCGACTGCCCTCAGGAAGATAGGATCCAAGTGGAGCCTCACTCAGCCTGTCTGCTGTGTGCACATTATATACTTACATTTGGTGTAAACTACAATTTCTCTATAGCTCATTGATATCCCAGGATGAGACTGAGACAGTGAGTATTTTTGGTCCAATATATCAACTTAGCTGCCTTTGTTCAACTGTTTTAAGGTTTAAATGATGTCCTGCAGTGCATAAGTAGCATGCATGACATTCAACTGAACATTGTGTTTTTAAACTTGATGCTAGTATATATTCATTTCTTCTATGAAAAAGAAATCAGGTTTAAATTATATAGGGTAGTTGATTTTCAGTAAATGTGTTTATCTTTACCATTAGTGGTATGTGAGGTCATTTTGGGGACTATTATTTTAGTGTAAAATATACTGTATTAGAAAAATGTAACTAGAATGTCACACCTTTGGTGTGAGGAATGTTGTTACTTTGTATGAGCCTACTTTAAAAGTAGATAATTTTCAATTCCTTTAAAGAATAAGTGTAGGTAAATAATAATACTGGTGTTAGGACTTCAGCCACTCCCATGGGGCAAACTGGACCATTGTCCCTTCCACAGCACTTCCTATAATGGTAGATTATTTGTGCTGATTATGATTATGGGCAGTGCAGTGAGAATCAGGTGGACTTTGGTTCTCAGGCTAAGAATAGGGTGGAAAGACCTCAAAATACAATCACTTTCAATTATTTTATCTTCTTGATTAGAATGCATATATCAACCATTTATTTTTAAGTACTCTGTCATATGTCATGATTTCATTAAAAACATTTTAGCCCATTGAGGTTGTTCAATGAATTGCCTTTCTTATCCAAGGAAACTGAAGCCAGTTCTTGTAAGAGAAATTATAATTTACAGGTGTGTGTGTGTATGTGCTGGTATAAGTGGAAAGGGAAGAGAATAGGGTGAATGAAACTTTGCTAAAAGCAATCTCCTTTTTAATCAAAATACTACTAATGAATTCTTAGTCTTAAATCAGTGAATAAATGTGACTAAAATACTAGTGTATATGATATGAAAATCTAGCATGACTAACATAAATATTCCTCCTATTAAGTCCAAAAGACTTAATTATTATTATTAAGTAATTACTATTAATTACTATTATTGATCACATATTTTTGCATCCTGGCAGTATTTTATTTTAAAGCCAGCCTTTTCTTAATTTAAACCTTATAATATCTTGGAAGATTATGTACTTGCTTATAAAGAGAGTGGCTATCATAAAGACTCACTTTGCATTTGACATATGTAATAGCTTATAACAGAATATTTTATACAAGTGCATACTCTCACAGGTAAATTGATGATTATTTACTTCATCAAAAGACTTCCCCTATGCCTAATATATAGGAATACTGCAGAATTCTCTACAGCCAGTTTAAATTGCTTTTGTCTCTGTTTTACTCTCTATTTGGTGGCAGAGTGTTGGATTTAGATAATGCCTTTGATAACATTAACACTTCACTGTTTGTAAACCAGCTGAATGGAATCTTCCAAATTCACTCTCTACTGATTATCATCAGTATTTTGGGGGCAATTGATTTGTGACTACAGCAACTAAAAATGAACTTGCTACATTTCTAGTTAATCTCTATTTTCACAAAAAAGTGTCAGGTTTTATAAATTAAGATTATTTGTAATAAATGTCAACAGTACTCTGAAAAATAGAGCCCTACCTAAATTTTTATTCTTTCAAAAATGTGAAAACTGCACATATCTACCTTTAAACATGTGAAAAATACTTGTTTATATCAATATAATAACTAATGACTCATGATTTTTTTCAAGCTGGTTCCTCATGGATTTTAATTGGTATTTCTTTTTAGAAATTATGCTTACTGACATGCTGATGAAGCAAGTATGTTTTTGTACAAAAAGCTCTTGAAAGATAAGGGTTGGGTGAAATGAGACAGTGTTGATTTGTGACTGAACTTATCATAAGGTGTTATCTATGGTATGATTGATTCCTAACAGCATAAAAAATTTCATTCTTATGGACTTTGCTCTTAAATACCAAAATAATGGTTATTTTTCTCTCTTGCTAGTGTTAGATAAAGACAAGCAAGTCAATAGACTCATAACCATTTATAAAAATGATTTGCATGATTGCATTAAATATTTATTGTTATTATGAAAAGTCCTCTCACAGTTACCCATATTTAGTCCAGGGCATGATGAAGCATGCAATCATAATTTCCAACCTCTGTTATTTTGAGGAAAGCAACTGTAAACGTTTGCCTGGACCCACTTTCGTGTTCTCTTTTAATTCTTCTAGACACTTTGACAATGGATTTCTCCACAAAAATGTTCTATTGAGAGTCTTCCCAACAATATAATATAGATCTAAGTGGGAAAGTTGATAAATATAGATAAAATATCAATAAGGAAATGTTAGGATGGGTCAAGGGGAGAACTTTCTATAAGCTATTTAATAGTTTAGCTTCCTCAAGGTGTCTTCTCACTCTATTGTGCTTGTCACAGTGGGGAGTAAAATGTCAAGTTGTAAAAACTTTTATATTAGGTAATTCAGAAAGTTGTGAATTTTATTCCAAATCTGTCTGAGGAATTTGCTACACTGTGTTTCAAGGACTGTTGCATTTAATATTACTGTTATGGAAGTGTTTGCTAATATTCAATAATTATTAGGAAGCGTATAGTCCTGCTTTTGCCTCCACACCCAAACCATTGTTAATACACTTGAAAAATCTGTTTCTGGAAATTACAGTTTCACAAACCAATGTTAACTGCAGATGCAGAGTAGCACTCAGGGAGTTGTGGCAGGGTGTAGAAAAATTAGCCTCTTCTGGTATAAGGAAGCTTTCACAATGCAAAAGATGAAACCATGGTCAAATTCCCTGTTTTTCTGTGAGTGCCTCTTTTATATACAAAGGAATGGGTTTTAAGGATAATATAATAACTCTATAACTAACATTTTGACGAACTGATGAAATGTTTTCCCAAGCAGCTGCACAGCAACATTTGAGAGTTCTGATTTCTCCACATTCTTGTCAATGCATCTGCATTTTCCCAAAGCCATCAAGTTTCATGTGAAATAAAATGACATCTCACTGTGCTTTTCACAGAGCTGATTTTAAGCCAAAGTATATTTCCAAGTATTCCCTGTGATTGTAAGGATTTAGGTTCTTGCATAAAAATGCTTATAAGTCAGCGACTTCTTGGGAATAGATTTTTCTTAATAGGCAAGTATATTCGAAGTATTAGAAGTTCAGTTTCTTTCTCCTCTGGGAGTTTTATGTTTTCCTTATGTTGGAATTATGTAAGTTCTTATTAATCTACTTAAATCAATCAGAACAGCAGCTTTGTTAAATTTAGTTTTACTTGGAATCTAGTATCTGTCAAGACTAGCTATCCCTATGGTGTACATAAAATAAGAGGGTTGCTTTTTTTTTATTGCCAGTTGAAAAGACTGTTTTTTATACATGCAGAGAGAACTTGCAGCTTTGGTTTGCCACTCAGCCATACGTCCCAAATTAACACAGAGACTCGAGCCCAGACTTTAAAAGGATGTTCTTGCAGTATGCATGGGACATTTTCTCGAGTGATGTGAGCTTTTAGTAGCAAGTAGACAGACACACATAAAGACTAACAACCAGCTTTTCTGTCTTCTGCTACCCATCTTAAATATATCTCTGGAGTCTGCCATCCAACAGATTTCGTTACTAGATAGATCTCTTCTTACTGCTGCCACTAGTGAGGAATATATTATTAGCCATGAACAAAAGCTGTATTGTCTGATATTAGCATAGCTACCCCAGTTCTCTTACAGTTGTATTTACATGGTATATCCTTTTTCATCCGTTTGGTTTCATCCTATTTTTATCTTGAATCTAAAGTGCATCTCATGTAGACACTCAGATATTTAAAAAAAAAAACAAACCCAGCCTGACATCTTTACCTGTTGATTGGATTTATATTTATCCATTTATATTTGATGTTATTTTTAATATGATTATATTTATGTCTCCTATTTTATATTTGGTTCTTTATATCTCATTTTTTATTCCTCTCTTCTTCTTCTATTGCTTCTTTTTACATTAACCAATATTTTCTAGTCATATTTTAATTATTTCAGGGATTTTTATTACTGTCGTTTTGATTTTTTTTTAGTGGCTCTAGGGTTTCCAGTACACATCTTAAATTACCAGAATCTATTTTACATTTATACTACCTTGATTCCAGTGAAACATATAAATGGTAACTCTAGAGAGCTCTATTACCTCTTTTTGTGCTATTATTTATTTTTATTTTTAGTGTTTTTATTGATTATGCTATTATAGTTGTCCCATTTTTTCTCCCCTTTATCCCCCCTGCACTCTCCCCCCTCCACTATTCCACCAACCTTAGTT